TGCTGTCACATTGCCACCATGGTTCTAATTTATGCTTAGAAGCCTAACCTGCCACAGGTGGCTCACGCATGTAATCCTAGCTACTCAGGAGGCAGAGATCAGGAGGATTTTGAATTGAGGCCAGCTTGGGCAAATAGTTTACAAGATCCAATCTCAAAAATACTAAGTGCAAAAAGGGCTGGTGGAGTGACTCAGGTAGGAGAATGCCTGTGTAGCAAGGGTTGATACACAGATGACACGCAGGAATTTTCAGCTATTGAGGGTCTTTGGGTCCTCCCTGAGAACAAAAGCAGAGGTCAACTGGAGCAGCAGAGTTCAGAAAGGTTTTATTTGTAGAGAAGAGAAAAGGCTCCATGGGGGAATGAAGGGGGACCTGGAAACTGGTGGTCCCGTGGGTCAGGTTTGGAAATTGGGTTTTTATAGCCATTTTTTGTATTGCCCGAGGGTGGAGAGGTCACTCGGGTCTTCTGAAAGAAGTGTCTCCTTGGCCGATTATCACCTTTTGGACCTCTTGCAGTCTGCCCTTCAGGGTGAGGTTTTTCCTTCAAGTTCCAGTTACCATCCCCACCCCCCCCAAAAAAAAGATCAGAAGCAAAGTCTTTACTTTTTCTCATTGCATTTTTGTCAGCTCTGTTGAACTATATATGTAGTAAGTTATAGATTTTAAGCAGACAATTCTGTCTTGACATTTCTTTTACCCTCGCATTTCTTTGTGTTCCTTTGCAGTTCATCCCTGCTCTCTCACATCTCTGGGCCCTGGCTTCCACTAATGTGCTTTTTATGCTGTATGAATTTAAAGAAGTTTTCCAGAATATCATATAAATGGAATCATTCTGTAACTTATCTTTAGTGGAGACTTTCAATTTGCATATTGATTTTGGGATTTAGATACATCCTGTTGCATGCATCAGCAGTTTTGGTTTGATTGATAATCTCAATTTGGCCTAAAGCTGCCTTCTTATGTTTTAAGTATGGCTTAAGGTGTTCATCTTACATAATGAAATGTAGATTGTCATCTACTCTTGTAACAAGTAACAGAATCTCAGCCAATCACAAGCAGCCAACTTTTGAAACTGTTCAAATACGACAGGAAGAAGACAAAAAATAATCATGCTGTCTGTACCTCACTTCAGTTTTTTGTATGTCACTTCCTTTTTAAATTTTTTTATTAGCATTTAATAGTTGTATATGGGAGATACAGTGCAACATTTACATAAATGCTTACCATTTATCTTTATTAGATTTGACCCCTCCATCCATTCTCCCTCATCTCCTACCCCCTTCTTAGAACAATTTCAACAGGTTTCACTGTTCTATTTTAATATAAGAATACAAAGCACATCCATGTTCACCCTCCTTCTCCCTCTCTTTTTGCCCTCCTCCCTCCTTCTGGTACCCAGACAGGACCTGTTTTATCTTCCTGTCCTTCATTTTTTTAAGTGTATATTGATTGTTCAAGGGGGATTTCTCCTTGGTATTTCTCTTCCTCAACAGAATTGTGTATTCCAAATACAATTTTACCAGAAATGAAAGTGTGTATATGTGGGTACTGGGGGGGAGATGGAGTAGACCTTCAGTTAAAATACTATGTATAATATACCACAATTATTCTTGACATTAACAATTTCATAAATTAGCACATCTGTTTCTATACTCCAATGCCAACATCAAGTCCAACTGTAGGCTTAGTAGTAAGTTATAATTTGAGATTCAAATATTGTTAATTACTCATTTTTTGTGGTAGGTGTAGTGGTAGGCTCTGGGATGTGTGGAAGGGCAAAAGATACTGGGCCTCTGTGTTCACAGTCCTTATTTAACAAAGGCAGTAGGCCCTCATAGCACATGTGCTGTCAGGTGATATGGCTGTGACAGGACATATTAACATACCAAACAAGTGCTCACTTTCCCACAGCTGTGATTAATTTTGTTAAGCTTATGTGATTCCAATGAGTACTGGTAATTAGATGTCCAGGGTGCATTATTTTAAAAAATAATATTCTGGGGCTGGTGGAGTGGTTCATGTGGTAGAGCACCTGCCTAGCAAGTGTGAGAGAGACCCTGAGTTCAAACCCCAGTACCACCACCACCCCTAAAAAAACTAATAGTATTCTGTATCCTCTGTGGAGAAAAAGAATACAAAGGAATAATAAACACCTCAGATCTGTAGCCTGAATGTTTACATTCAAATAACTTATTCAACCTCTTGAAGTAGCTGTTTAACCTATATTTACACAACTATGAAATAGGATCTAGGGGACACTCATAGTGTTTTTTTTTTTTTTTTACTCATAGTGTTGATAAAGGTGATTATTGAATTATTTCATGTAAAATAATTACATTTTTTTGTCCAGTAGATAATGGTTTTCAATAAATATTTAATGTTAGCAATGCTCTTACTAAGCAGGGCAGAAGAGGGTGAACTGGTCCAGGACTTGCAAGACAACCACGAACACCAGGTGGCAGCACTCAGGCCCTGATTTCAGCTCACTAGATCTGGCGGCAATGCCTCACAGTCACCTGCTTAGCTATATTTGTGTTCTATAACCTTTTGTTTTCCATTTCTGGGGCACTTTCTTGTGATAGAAGAGTTGTTACTAGAAGAAAATTAGATTTTTAAAACAACGTATCAGACTCTTAAGATGGTAGAGAATTGGTAGAATTTACAAGGCCTTCTGGTCTTAGATCCACACTGGCCATTTTGCATCAGTGTGTATCTGCTTTAGCTACAAACCACCTAAAGACAAATTATGCAATTCCACCTGCTCCCACTCACCCTACAATAAGATCATGCCTGGGACTAATAACAGTGTACCTTCAACTAGGCAGTGAACTAGTCAAAATCCAGTCATCAAAGGGGATCGCTCCCATTTCCACGCTCCAAAAGCTCTGGCTCTGTGGTGACTTTTATTGCCTTTAACATTGACCGTTGTTTAAAGTTGTGAGACTGAGGACAGAGGTTTGAACAAGGTCCTTGAAAAGATTAGATTACGCCAACTGTATGGCTGAAAATTCATGATTTTACAAAGTCACTTAATATTCTGTTTCCTTCTAAGGACCAAGGATAAAATTATTTATGTACATTTGTCCTATGAGGGATAAAGCAAGAAATCACAACTGGTTATCTAAGTCTTAGTTGTGAAAATATTACCTCCCCTTATTGTGGTTATTCCTGTTTCTTCGGGCTTTCCTAGGGAGGTGAGCAGGAGGGATGAAAGGGCTCATTGCAGAGCAATAGGTAGATATGTCTTCACAATCAATGATATCTTTGATTTTGGATACCAGATAAGGGAGAGAGATGGCAAAGAGATGAAAGGACCAATCCTCTGTTGACGGAAGAGGAATTTATAGGTTTTTTTGTTTTTGTTTCTGTTTTTGGTACTGTGGTTTGAACTCAGCCTACACCTTAAGCCACCCCACCAACCTTTTTTTGTGATGGGTTTTTTTAAGATAAGATCTCAGGAACTATTTGCCCTGCTGACTTTGAACTGTGATCAGGAGGCTGATCTCTGCTTCCTGAGTAGCTAGGATTACAGGCATGAGCCACTGGCACCTGGCTTGAGCTTCTAGCTTTTAATTCACCCAAAGGTGAGGACCTGAGCATCAGCACTGTACTAGCTGCACAGGTTGCAACTCTGAATAGAAAACAATGTCTCTGATGTCCTGGAGCTTAATATTCCATGGGCGGATTCAAACAATTAAAGATATCAATACATATATGCATGGAAACAGCGCAAGGAATCTCCCCATATAGCTATCTTTATCTCAAACTAGCAAAAATGATGTGTTTTTCTTATTATCTTTTATATTTTTTTCTTCTACAAAATCGGAGAACAGGAGGGTGATACATGTTCTGCCTAGAGGCAGAGGATAAAACGGGAATGTGGGGGTGAGGGTGGGGGTGGGGGTTGCTGGAGGGGTGGGGGGTGGGGGCAAATAATGTAGACACATGTAAGTAAATGCAAAAATGATACCTGTTGAAACTGTTCCAGGAAATTGGGAGAGGGAGGCTGAAAGAGAGCAGTAGAGAGGCGAATTCAAGTATTTGACACATTGTAAGAACTTTTGCAAATACTCCAATGTACCCCCACCCAGCGCAACAAAAACAATTAAAAAAAATGTTGATAAGAAAACAACAAAGCTTGCAAAGAATGGTTGTGTGGTAGCCACACTTCAGATAGGCCAGACAGAGAAGCCCTTCTGATAAACTGTAAGAAGTATGTGAGTCATGCAGATGTAAGGGTGAAGGGTCACTCTTGCAACATAATAGCAAATGTAAATATCTTGTGACAGAGGTGTGTTTTGCTGCTTTTAACACTGAAAATGTGGGTTTTTTTGGGGGGGAGGGGGATCCTCTCTTCTGCGGAATATCCCTTTGTCTTTCCATCCAATAGTGTTGCGGGAAATTATGAGCTGAGATAGGAGTCTCTGAGGCAGATTAGCAGGAAGCAACGTTTATTGTGCTGGCACAGACCTAGCGGACTCCTGTCCAAAAGTTGAGCCCCCCAGAACAATGGGGTCTCACCTTATATACCCTTGCAAGCAGGTTACAAAAGCAAAAAGCAAAGCTTAACCCACATATGGCTGCATGTGACTTCATTGGCTATTTCACTTCCCTAGTGCTATGTGACCTTCATGTTTCAATTCTTTAAGTTTTATCTCTCTGCTTTGCCATCCCCTCTCCCTGTCTTGTTTTCAGAACACCAGCCTGTCTGTTTCTTTTCTGGCCTCCCTTTTCTTGCTACAATAGGAGTAAAAATAAATTATGATCATTTCTCCAATAAAGGGTGGAAATTGGTGTCTCATATGAGTTGGAGTAAGGAAAGTGCTGAAAATTAGAATGAGATGCCCTTGTTATCTCAAGTGTGTGACCTCTATCCAGTACTATATAATACATATCTTTTTATTCTCCCTCTTTCTCAGCCTGAGTTTTTTCTCTTCTATCTAGGATTCTATAAGCAGAAACCATCTTAGAAGCCAAGGCTGTGCAGACAGAAGCCAAGAGAGTAGCTACAATGACTTCAGCCGTCCTGGTAGACATCCGAGATGAAGTAACTTGTCCTATCTGCCTGGAGCTCCTGATGGAACCTCTGAGTATAGACTGTGGCCACAGCTTCTGCCAGGACTGCATCACAAGGAATAGTGAGGAATCGGTGATCTGCCAAGAAGGGAAGAGCAGCTGTCCTGTGTGTAAGACCAGCTACCAGCCTGGGAACCTCCGGCCTAATCGGCACCTGGCCAACATAGTGAGGAGGCTCAGAGAGGTAGTGTTGGGCCCTGGGAGGCAGCCAAAGGTAACTCTTTGTGCACTCCATGGAGAGAAACTCCAGCTCTTCTGTAAGGAGGATGGGAGGCTAATTTGCTGGCTTTGTGAGCGTTCTCAGGAGCACCGTGGTCACCACACATTTCTCATGGAAGAGGTTGCCCAGGAGTACCAGGTGGGAACCCAGGATGGAGGGTCGACAGTGGGGGGGTCTGGTGGATTGAGTTTGGGGGACTTATGGCAGTGAGAATAAAGGAATATAGTGCTTTGTGGTCAGGTCCTTTGCCCAAGGGAAAGAGAGTTGGCCTATTTCTGTTGATTTATGTCCCCTGTATATTTAGTACTTTTTCCTTCTTTGTTTTTTCATCCCAAGACAGGACAGACTTCTCCTGAGGTGAGGTCAGCATAATTTCTGTCTTGTTCATTTCATGTCTAATACTGAGACAATGTAAATTTTGAACCTTCTTGACCTGGTGTGCTTCTTCCAGGAAATGTTCCAGGAGTCTCTGAAGAAACTAAGGAGAGATCAGCAGGAAGCTGAGAGGTTAAAAGCTGTTATAAGAGAGAAGAGGACATCCTGGAAGGCAAGAATGATTCCTCCCAAAGGTGTCCTGGGGTAGGAACCAGGGCTGTTCTTGGGAGCTGAGGACAAAGGAATCCTGCCCCTGAATGTCCTTCCTATGGCTATAAGGGCTTCCCCTTGGAAGTCTGAGTGTAGATTGTGGCCGCAGTCCTTCATGGCATCCTGTCTAGATGACTACATCCTTCCCAAGCAAGGATGTAAAGGGACATTGGGCAGGGGGTAGATAACAAATATATCAAAAGTGAACAGGTTTTTGAGACAGCCACAAAGGGAAGGAACTATGACCAGAGGTAGCCCCCTACTTCATAATTCTGGGTTTTTATAGTGTCAGTCTCTGGCCTCCTGGGAATGACAGGTTGATCATGAGCCAATAATTCTTATTTCAATACTCAAAATTGGAATTGGAGACTAATACAGAGGCATTGTAAGCCAGGAAAGCTTCCTGAAATCTAAACCTCATCCAGGAATCACAGTCTATATCAGAATGCTTGGACAAAATAGACTGGGGCTATTGGTCTGGGAAGAGTAGGTTCCACAGGCCTGCCTGAGCAGGCATTTGCCCCGTTTCTCCCAGTGAGGCTGGCCCATCCCCCATCGCGGACTCTTAGCCCAACAGACAGCATCCTGTTTTTCTTCCCTGATGCTGAAGAATCAGATGGAGCCTGAGAGACACAGGATCCAGACAGAGTTTAATCAGCTGCGAAGAATCCTGGACAGAGAAGAACAGTGGGAACTGAAAAAGCTGGAGGAGGAAGAGAGGAAAGGGCTGAGTATTATAGAAAAAGCTGAGGGTGAGCTGATCCATCAGAGCCAGTCCCTGACAGAGCTCATCTCAGACCTGGAGCGGCGGTGCCAGGGGTCTACAGTAGATCTGCTGCAGGTAAGACTGGCGGAGGAGCCGCAGACGTGAGAGTCAAGAAAAACAAGCCAACTATTTTCTGGGACACAGGACTAACATCCTTGTGGGGAGAAGAGGGGAAAAAAAATCATTTGTCCCTGTAGTGCCTCCTACCTAATTAACTGTACAGAGATCATGGGTCAAAGTATAAGATAATTCATAATGTAAATACTAAGGAAAAGTGCCATTTTTGTTTATTATTCATTATGGGTGGTTCAGAAGTTTATCGAATATTATGAAGAAGATCTGCTGTATCTGGTGATGTTCTAGAGGTGACTTTCCCAATCCAAGCACTGTTGACATTTTGGGCTACATAACTGCTGTGAGTGACTCTTCTGTACATTGTAGGAAGAATATTTAATAGCATTCCTAACTTCCACCTACTATACCTCAGCAGTATCACCTCAGCTATGATAACCGAAAGCCCCTCCAGACATTGCTGTATATCTCCAGGGTTAACATAGCTAACTCCACCCCAGCTGAGAACCACTGCACACTAGGCATCTCATGTCTCTGTTGCTGTACTGGAAATTTGTCAGGTGCATTTCATTCAGTTTAGTCACAGGAAAACACATGCCAAACTCAAGTTCTTAGAGATTATGTAATTACCAGCCCTTCTTTACTTTCTCTTCTCTAGGGTAGAATCATTTAGCATGATGCAAAAATAGATATTTGAACACATCTTATGGGGCTAGAGTTTTGTGTGTGTGTGTGTGTGTGTGTATGTGTGTGTCTTTGTGTCTGTATGTATAGTTTGGAATGGTGCAAGGTTTGGAGAGATTGATGGAGGAACTTGAACTAAAGTTGATACTTGAATTGCAGTTAGAAATTTTCTGTGTAAAATAAATAGTACAGCTATGAGGTAAAGGCATGACGTGCCTTGTGATATTTTGGGCATTTCAAGCTGTTCCTTAATTTGTTTGCCTTTCACTTTCATCTAACTCTTCCTTTACTGATAGAATAATTATTTCTTATTCTGGGGTGCAGTATTATAGTCACTTTCACCTGACTAGAGCTTTCTTCATTCACTGTTTCATTCTGTTCTTCTTGTATTTTTGTCTTTATTTTATTTATTTATTTATTTTGTGGGACCAGGCTTTGAACTCAGGGCTCCACGTTTGTAAAGCAAGCACTCTGCCATTTGAGTCACACCTCCAGCTCATTTTAGTCTGGTTGTTTTGGAGATGGAGTCTTGTGAACTGTGTGCCTGGGCTGACTTTGAGTAATGATTTTCCCATCACAACCATCCAAGAAACCTAGATTACAGGTGTGAATCACCGGCCTGACTTGTCCTCATTTTTGACATTAGGTTACCCTAATCCTTTTTTCTTCACTCTTTTGTTCTAGCTCTTTCATAGACATCTCAAATTCTAAAAATGTTTCTTTAAAAGCAAATAAATCATCAATTTGTGTTGCTAATTCAGGTACCTCAAACCCATTAGTAATGGGCCTTTTAAATTGAATGTTATCTAGTTGATTGTTTTAGAATTCTCCCATCTTAAACATATTCTTCCTTCTCTTTTCCACATCTTTGTCACATTATCTCTTATTAAAATTTGACAATCCAGATATAAACTTCAAAATGTGAGCACTAAGAATAAAGCCAACATAAAAGAAATAGGAAGTGGCATTTTGATTTGCTCATTTAAATTCCTCAGCACACACAAGATATAAGATTGGTACAATTCCTGCTATGTGATGTTGCACCCAACCCCTCTACTACTTTCTGTATTCAAGCCAATTTGAGTTGTGTTTCTGTGCAAAACAACCACAATAGTCCCAATACAAAGAAAATACTTATTCCTATGTTGACTTTGTCTTTGGGGTTGTTGAGGTTTATTGAGCAGAAGTTAGGAAGCTGAGTAGGAGGCAAATGGTTAATTCTGCTGAAAGAAGAATTAACAGCAGGTGGCTGAAAGAAGTTAAGGTCATAAGCCAGGTGCAGGTACTCAGTCCTGTAATCCTTGAAACTTGGGAGACTAAGTTAGGGAGCAGTGCTGTACACGGGCAGTCCTGGCAAAAAAGAAAGTTTGCAAGACCCCATCTCAGTTGGGTAAGAGAAGCTGGGCATAGTGGTGGGTGCCTCTCATCCCAGCTATCACAGGAAGCTTAAATGGTAGGATTTCAGCCCGATCCTAGTGGCTCATGCCTACAATCCCAGCTTCTCAGAGGCAGAGATCAGGAGGATCATGGTTTGAAACCAGCCTGGGCAAATAGTTCTTGAGACCCTATCTTGAAAAAACCCATCACAAAAAAGGGGATGGTGGAGTGGCCTAAGTTGTAGGCTCTGAGTTCGAATTCCAGTACTGCAAAAAAAAAAAAGGTAAGATTTCTATCCAGGCCAGCCTGGATAAAAATCAAGATCTTATCTCAAAATAACCAAAGCAAAAGGACTGGTGGCATGGCTGAAATGGTAAAGTGCTTGCTTAGCAAGCTCAAAGCCCTGAATTCAAAATTCTTGTACCAAAAAGTTCAGTGCATTAAATGGAAGGGTCAAAGACAGGATATCAAGGTAGTTTACAACAGTATTTTGTCTAATTTTGGTGACTAAGCAGATGCTAGCATTATTCAGGAGGATGGAAGACAAGAGACAGAACGTTTGCAGGAATACTAAGTTTTCTTTGAAGCATCTTGAGTTTGAAGTGCATGTATCTTATTGGCTGCCATATTTATTAATCTGAATCATGCATGGGAGAACAGATTTAGAGATCATCAACATGTGTGCGTTGTAGTCCAGGAAATGGTGAAGTAAGCAAAGGTAAGATAGACGGTTACAAAAGAGGAGGTTTAAGAGGCAGCCATATTTAAAGCAACAATAGAATGTAAGCTTCCAGGGGCAGGCACGATGCATGGCAAATAACAAATGGTGTACATACATAAATTATACATACATACAGAGCTGTAAAATTGGAGGAAGTAATGGATCGATCATTTCCTGATGTCTTCATATATGTTCTTAAGGTCTTTCTGCCTTGAGTTGTATTTTTTTTAAGAGACAGAATCTTCTATAAAGCCCAGGAGCTGGCTTCAAAACCATGATCCTTTTGCCTCAATCTCTCTAGAGCTGGGATTGTAGATATGCACCACCATACCCAACTGGCACTGAGTTTTTATATCTGCTTTGTACTCTCACTGTTAGGGTCTTATTCCTATTCGTTGCATGGGTATTGGAAACAGGAGCAGGACATGACCTATTACTCCTTAACTTAATCTGTCTTTTCCTCTCCAGGATGTGAACAATGTCACGAAAAGGTGTGTGAAGAGAAGATGGAGTAATTCTTTTGAGATTGACAAAAGATTTCTGTACCCGTAGTCAGTGTGGGGAAGGGGAAAAAAATCTCAGGCAAGGAACATTCAAGACTGATATCTTGAATTGCACATTTCATGAGAAATTTGGGAATCCCAAAATAAAGGAAAATGGCTGGTTTTCATGGTAAGAGAATTGGAGACAATACTGTCACTCAGAATAAATGCTTGTTATGTCAGTGACTCCTCTTGTACTGTCACCTGACTCCCTTTCTACCTGCGTTCTGTCCTGGTTCTCTTAGTTATCGCTACCTCAAAGCACACAGAGACATTCTTTGTGCCTTTTATCAGAGGGCAATTCAGTCTATATTGTTTTCTAAAGTCTGAGAATTTGCTCTTAGACAGTTGCCTTAAATTTCCCTTTCTCCCCTGACTTTGGAATAGTCCCGGTTTTTCTGCCTGGTTCTGATTTCCGTGTGTCAATTCCAGTAAAGATATAAATGTGAGAATGGGAAGAATGGCTTTGGCCCTGGAGGAGAACATGTTCTTTTCTCTAGCACGTAATCTAGAATCTCATCCAACAAGGCTCCTCACAGACATAGGAAGTGCAGAGCCTGTTGTCACTCTCAACTCAGAGGTGAGGATGTCTCCCTTCTCCCACTGGCATAAGATCCCCAGAGACAATGACCTCTAAGATGCTGTTCTGAGGCTTTCCTCCTGGGCTTGTGGAAGATCTGAGGCCTAAATCCACAGCATTGTGAAGGAAGCCCTTCATTTGATGCTCTCTAAGCCCCAGCAGCAGGTTCCTGGTGGTCTGTCAGTCCAGACATCTGAGTGCCTCCTGGCACTAACACTTGAAACATTTTGTATCTTCTTTTACAGTATTTCCCAGCCATTATTCTACTCAATTTCTTGCTATCTTTGGGACATAAATGTCAACAGAAAAACAAGGAAAGAAACAAAATAAAACTTTTGAAGGGGGTGGGCGGGTGGAGAAGGTTGAGTACTAGATTTGAACTCAGAGCCCTTATACTCACCAGGAAAGCACTCTGCCACTTGAGCCATACCACCAGCCCAGAGATGGTTTTTTTGGCAGTTCTGTTCTGGGGTTTGAATTCAGGGCCTCACACTTGTTAGGCAGGCACTCTTACCACTTGAAACACTCTGCTAGCTCTTTTTTGTGATGGGTTTCTTCGAGATAGGGTATCACAAACTATTTCCCAGGGGCTGTCTTTGAACCAAGATCTTTCTGATCTCCGCTTCCTGAGTACCTAGTATTATAGGCGTGAGCCCAGTGGCCAGCCCAGGTTTTAAGAAGTTAAAATCATAGTGAAGTTTACACAGCTTGTTTCTAGTCTAGGTCTTCTGGTCCAGTGCCAGGACCCTTTGCAGAGTGATGTTGACTTTTCTCAGGAGAGTGTTGAAATTCATTGATGGACCTAAGAGGTGAGGGAGACAGAGGTGTTGGTGGAACCCAGTGTCAGCACCAGGGGTTCATAAGTTCTGTCCTTCCTAGGAGTGAGTTCTGGACCTTGAGGAAGCCCCAAGCTCTCCCAACCAAGCTGAAAAGTGTATTTCGGGCCCCAGATCTGAAAAGGATGCTGCGAGTATTCAGAGGTAAGATTTAGGGAAAGAGTTTGGTGTGGAATAACTGTAGTAGGAAGAAACGAAAAGGAAAGAGGGTATAGTTGGTATGTGAGAAGAGTGGCAATGAGGGAGGTCACAGAGGGAGAGACGTAGTGTAGTGTGTAGAACATAGACTCTTCATGCTTAAGAGGAGATGAAAAGTCTAATTCACATCTTCACAGAATTCCCCACTAGTCTCAGTTTTGTAAAGGGAGAGCTATCAGACCTGAGACCACTGGTTCTACTTAACATGTTTCACTCTTTTTCTTGTTGTAGAGCTGACAGATGTCCAAAGCTACTGGGGTGAGTAGAAACGGTGGCCTCTTTGATCTGTTGTGACTGATTCCCTTTCTCTTGCTCCTCCCCATACAAAGCTCATGTTTAAAGTGCCCATACCTCCCTTTTCCCTAGCTCCAGTTTCCCAACCACTTCCTGTGCCTCTTCCTCTGAGATCCTAGGACCCAGGTGCTTGTTCCCATCTAAGGCTGTTTTCCTTTTTTCTACAGTGGATGTGACCTTGAACCCACACACAGCTAATTTAAATCTCATCCTGTCTAAAAACAGGAGACAAGTGAGATTTGTGGGTGCTAAGCTGTCTGAACCTTCCCGTCTGGAAGAACATTATAACTGTAGTGTCCTCGGCTCTCAGCACTTCTCCTCAGGAAAGTACTACTGGGAGGTAGATGTGACCAAGAAGACTGCCTGGATTCTGGGCGTGTGCAGCAATTCAGGGGAACCTACATTCTCTTTCAACCAGTATCCTCACCAGCAGAATGCTTACTCCAGATTTCAGCCGCAGAGTGGATTCTGGGTGATTGGGTTGCAGCACAAGCACGAATACAGAGCCTATGAGGACTCCTCCACTTCCCTGCTTCTCTCCATGACGGTACCCCCTCGTCGTGTTGGGGTTTTCTTAGACTATGAGGCCGGCACTGTCTCATTTTACAATGTCACAAACCATGGCTTGCCCATCTACACCTTCTCTAAATATTACTTTCCTACAGCCCTTTGTCCATATTTTAATCCTTGCAGCTGTGCAGTCCCAATGACTCTACGTCGCCCAAGTTCTTGAATACTCTGCTGCCCCCATCCAGGTGGCTCATCTGACTCTCCTTTCTGATGTTTGGTTTTCTGAGTTCACACTCCTTCCTTTGAACATTGCCTCAATAATAGGATGTACCCAGTGACAATAGTGAGCATCCTTGACAGTTCTTGAAGTGGATTGGGAGAACTATCAGCATTTTACTGCGAAGCATAGGATTAGGTAGAAAGTTTTCACAATGCATGGAGTCAAATGTAAGAAATTCTCTTCTGTTCAAGTATTCTTTCCATTATTGAGATAATTGTGTCATTTTTATTGTTATTGTGACCAACCACATTCAGTTGGTTGAATTGTTAAATCTACCACAAATTCCTGAAACAAACCGTTATTATTTGCTATATGTAATTTGAGATTTATTTTTAGTAACCCATTGTTTAGGTTATGTTCCTGAACAAAACCAACCTGTAGCTGTATGTTCTTATAAGATGTTTGTCAGGTTTTATAAATTGTAATAATGAGCAAAGAAATCACTGTGTAAATGTATATAGGATTAAGTGCTAAAATCAAAAAATTCTTATTTAAAGCAATTCTTGTGGCTTTAAATTCAAATGGAAGGAGGCAGTTGTATCTTCTGTCTTTACTACAATCCCTAACCTTCAGCCTTCATCTTAAAATTTTAAGGGTTATAATCAAAAATGAAAAAGAGGACTTGGAGGTATAGCTCAAGTGGTAGAACAGCTGCTTATTAAGTGCAAAGCTCTGAGTTCATACCCCAGTAGTAACAAAAAAAAAGTCTTAAGTGGTAGACTTAAGGGGAGTGTCCTGAATTCAAACCCCAATACATCAAAAAAAGTTACAAAAATAAAAAAGAAATACACCTTCTAAGTGAACTGAAATTAAAAAAAAATGAAAGAAGAAGAAAATGGTCACTCAAATGCAGATTTTTTTCTCCTAAATGGAACGAAGATGCAGAGAAAATATGAATAAATATAATATACTTTTAGGAAAAAAATAGTTTATTCTGATTTCTCAACATTCCCCCTTCCTTCATTCCTTCCTTTCTCCCTCCTTTTCTCCCTCCCTCCTTCCCTTTTGTGGTACTGGGGTTTTAACTCGTGCTTGCTAGGCAGACACTCTACCATTTGAACCCCTCTGTCAGCCTTTTTTGTGTTAGGTACTTTTTTTCTTTTTTTGCAGTACTAGGGCTTGAATTCATGGCCTTCACCTTGAGCCACTCCACCAGTCCTATTTTTGTGAAGGATTTTTTCATGATAGGGTCTCCGGAACTATTTGCACAGACTGTCTTTGAATCTCAATCCTGCTGATCTCTGCCTCCTGAGTAGCTAGGATTACAGGCATGAGCCACTGGTGCCCAGCTCTTTTCTTCTTTTTCTTTTTTGTGGTACTGAGGATTGAACCCAGGGCCTTTCCTTGAGTGACAACCCCAGCCCTTATTTTATTTTTTATTTTTACATAGGGTCTCACTAAATTTCCCAGACTGGCCTTGAACTCACTGTGTAGTCCAAGCAGACCTCAAACTTCTGATCCTCCTGCTTCTGTCTCCTGAGTAGTTGAGATTATAGGTATAGCTGAGATTACAGGAGTATTTCACTACTACCAGCCACCCCTCCAACACCTTCCTTTCTGCCCTTTTTTTTTTTTTTTTTTTTTTTTTGTCAGTACTGATGTTTAAACTCAGGGCCTCATGCTTACCAGGCAGGTGCATGCCCAGGTCCTCTTTAGTTATTTTTTGGATAGGGCCTTGAATTTTTACCTGGGTCTAACCTAGGACCACAATCCTCCTACTTATGCCCTCCAAGTAACTGGGATTACAGATATCACTACCACACTGAGTTTATTGGTTGAGATGAGATCTTGCTTAAATTTTGTTGGGCTGGCCTTGAGAAGTATTCCTCCTGATCTCTACCTCCCACATAACTGGCATTGCAGGCATGAGCTATCATACCTGGCCAGCACTTCCTTTTCTTTATGCCCAAACACAAAGAGCTGGTGAATAAGTTGCTATGTCTTTAGTATGGGGTGCTATACTTTCTGAGCCAACCACTTTAACAAAAAAGAAACAGGAACTATGAGTGAAAATGAATGTGAAGGGGAGACCAGAGCTGCAGTATAGTCAAGGGCCACTTCTGGCTACTGAACCACTGTGACCAGTATGAATTGAGATGTGCTGTAAGGGGCTGGACGTGGTCTACATCTATAATCCAAAACTCAGGAGGCAGAGAACAGGAAGATGATGGTTTGAAGTCAACCCTGGACAAATAGTTCATGACATCCTATCTCAAAAAAACCCAACACAAAAAAGGCTGGGGGAATGACTCAAGTGGAAGAATTCCTGCCTAGCAAGCATGAGACCCTGAGTTCAAACTCCAGTACTACAAAAGACAGAGAGAGAGGGAGAGAGGAGGTGCTATAAAGGTAAATACACACCAGATTTCCACAAAAAAAAAAAAATGCCTCACTAGTAACTTTTATGTTAATATTTTGGACACAGTTTACTTTTTTTAATGTGGGTACTAGAAAATTTTAAATTACACATTGCTTGTATTATACTTCTGCTGGAGAACAGTATGTGATGAAATTTCTGTTCCTGGGGAACCCTAGTATAACAGACTATGGGTCAGTGCTGAGAGGGCCCCAAGGCAAATGTGCTCATTTTGACAAAGACCTACCCCAATACACTCACCCCAAGGCATTTTTACTAAAGGTCATGGCAAAGAGACGATCTCAAGATAGCCAGGAGAGTAGACTTTGGACGATAAAGGAAGCGATCAGGCCAGAGTGTAAGATTCTGCCAAGTTGACCTCTGCCTTCAGCCCTAAGTCTATTGGCTTGAAGCTCTTTGATGAGTTGAAGAAATACTGATTCGTCCTCGGGATTCAGTTCTTGCATCTGTGGGGAGGAGAGATGCAGTACAAAGGCCTCGTACTGCTTTGTTCAGGGACAGCTTCATTTGAATGTTCTTTTTGACAGTACTGGGGTTTGAACTCAGGGTCTCATGCTTGCTAGGCAGGCTCTCTACTACATTTCAACTGGAAGAAACAGAAGAAACACAACAGGAGACTGAGTGGGCAGACTGGAGCCCAGGCAGCTGGTGGAAATTTAGGGAGAAGATGGGTCTGCCTGAATATTTTCCCATGCAGGAAGTTCCAGGCAAAAGGAGTTAGCCCAGTTTTTCTCTACGTGTAGTAGAAACCTCTTTGAGTCTTCTAAATTCACTTAGAGTTATTCAGTCAATGATCTCAGTTAATCATCAGCTAAAGTAATCCTGAAAGACCTGGGGAAGGTTTACCTAAAATGAGACTTGGCAATTATCAGGGTAAGTTAGCAACCCTGGCCTTGACATTTTTGATGTGATACAGTAAGTTAAGCTACTATGAAATCACGTGCGCGCGCGCACACGCACACGCACACACACACACAATGAATCAATGGATCAAATACTAAATAAAGTTATTTCTTGTTCATGTAAAAAATGTAGCATGAGGGCTGACAGAGTGATTCAAGCAGTAGTGCGAGTGCCTGTCTAGCAAGCACAGGGCCCTGAGAACAAGCACCAGTACCACCAAAAACAGAAAGGAAGAGAGAGAGAGAGAGAAAAATTCTGACATGAGTATTAACTAGAGGATGAGTGGCATTTTTCCATGTGAGATTCATGGGCCATTGGGCCTTGTGTGCTTCTTTCATCTGGTGACTGTCATACCCTAGATGTAATTGTTAACACCAAGAGGGCAGAACGGCAAAGGAAACTGAAGAGGCAGCTTGCTTTTTAAATCCTTAGTTGACATATGGGATTCATAATTTCTACTCCTTTTCTGTTGCTGAGAAGAGCTATGCGAGCTTACCTAACTAAAAGGAAGATTTTTTTTAATGTCTAACATATGTACTCAAGTATAATCAAATTTCAAAAGAAGGAAGTTTTTTTGTTTGTTTTGTTTTTTGGTTTTTGGGTTTTTTTTTGTGGAAACATAACAGAATGTTATAAGGGACACTTAAAGGAGTGCCTGGAACCATAAACTACTCTTTCTCATTACAGAGAACTCCGGATGGCACCTCATGAGTGTGTGTGTGTGTGTGTGTGTGTACACCTGTGACTGGAGTTTGAACTTAGGGCTCTGCATTTGCAAAGGAAGCCAAAGCATGTGCTCTACCTTGAGTCACACCTTCAGTTCATTTTGCTCTGGTGATTTTTTTGGAGATGGGTCTCATGAAGCATTTGTCCAGGTTGGAGCCTAAAACCTCGATGCTCCCAATACCTAGAATTACAGGCATGAACCACCAGTGTCCAGCCTAATTTTCATTTCTTTAATGCCTTGGGACGTTAAACATTTTTTTCATGTATTTCTGCTATCTGCATGTCTTCTTTAGTAAAGTGGCTCTTGAAATTTTTCACTTCTTAAAAAAAATGTGGTTACTAGTTTCTTATTAGAGAGTTTGGAGGGTTCTTTATATATTCTTGTAACAAGTCTCTCATTAAATATAGAATTAGTAAATATTTTCTCCCAATATGTGGCTTGCCTTTTCATTCTCTTAGCAGTATTTTTCAAAGAGGCAGACATTCTTGATTTTTCTGCTACTTAAACTTTTTTTCTCTTGTTGGGTTTTTTGGTTTTTGTTTTTTTTTTTAATTGTTGGGTTGGGTGGGGTACATTGTAGCATTTACAGAGGTTCTTACAATGTATCAAATACATCATACTTGAATCCCCCCCACCCCCTTTGGTGTTTTATCTAACAAATTTTTCCTAATCCAATATCAAAAAGAATATCTAAAGCCAGATGTGGTGGTGCATGCCTAAATCCCAGCATTCAGGACTCTAAGGCTGGAGGAGGGTGAGTTCCAGGCCAGCCTGGCCTACATGGCAAACCCTATCTCAAACAATAACAACAGAAGAAACAGTAATAACAAAATACCTCTTAGCTTTCTTCTAGAAGTTTTGCCATTTAGATTAAGTCCATAATCCACGTTGTGATAATTTTTATAAATAGTGAAAGGTACGGCTCAAAATCTATCTCTT